TGGCCGAAGAGGGGGCCAGACCTGGAACATTGCTGCCGTTGAGGCCTTCCTCGGGCTCGGAGTGGGACGGCATCGCACCCAGCAAGGTAGGGCCGTGAGGTCGTGCCTCGATCGTCTGGCGGGCACCGAGCAGCTGCTGGTGCCGAGAGGCGCCGTTGGTCTCTCGGAGCGGGGTCGTCGGAGCGGATGCAGCGACGCTGTTGCTGTTGATGACATCCTCGAGCTGAGCGCGCCCTGATCGGTCCTTCAGCTGCTGCTGTTCCAGCAAGGTCCGCTCCTCCTCCTGCTGCTGCATCTCCAGCAGAGCCATTTGCTGCTCAAACGCCTTTCGCTGAAGCGCACGCTGCTGCTCGTGCTCGAAGCGCTTCTTCTCTATCTTGGCGTGGAGGTCCTCCGGGGTCGCACCATCGGCACCGACACCGTCCTGGTCGCCCCGAGCGCGTTCGTCTCGGCCAACGACAGCCGAGTTGTTGGCGTTGACGGGTTCGGAAGAGGAAGCAGGGGAAGAGAACGACTCTTCGCCTGCCGCGCTGCCCTCGAGGCGGAAAGACTCCTCCGATGTCTGCAGGATGGACGGCGTGGAGCCCGATACAGACACGGTAGCGGACTCGGATGGTGCCGGTCGATTGCCGTTCGACAGGGCGTTTCGCGACCAGTCGCCGGAACCCGGACGGGAGGCGGCCGAAGTGGTCATGCCGGATCGATTGCGTTCCAGCGTCGGTCGATCAGCGCTGGCTCGGGTTGATGCGCAGCGACGATGTTCCGACTTGGTTGCGGCCAAAGTTGTCAGGGAAGGAGCGATGGCTTGCTGGTGGGACAGGGCGGATGAGACGCGGCCTGGCCTCTTGACTGGCGAGGGTGATGGTACACTGCTTGCGATAATGGTACAGGACTGAGGAACGGGACAGGAGTTGGTGTGCAGGGTCAGCAAAGCGCTTCGCTCAAGAGGGAAGCGTGTCCGCCGGCTCCGACTCACAAGTTGATGGGGCCCGGGCTGTTCTTGCACGATGAGATTGCGGCGGGTCGAGAGAGGGGGCTGGCGTGCTTATGGGCAGGAAAGGGACGAGCTTGAACCGGTCCGAGGGTCTCTTGGTGGGTTTAGAAGCGTGATGCTGCGGGGATGCTAGTTTCGTGCAAGGCCATGAAAAGGTCGAGACGCAGGTGGGTCCGGGCGTGCGTGACCGAGGACACCGGGAAAGCAAGCTGGAACGGCAGACGCGAGCGTCGTTGGTGCAGAGCTCCGATGACGACTCCGGTCTGTCGAGAAGTAGCGGGGATCCGCCCAGGGTGGGTGGACGCGATATGAGCGAGGTGGGCCAAGGTCAGGACCGTGGCTGGCCGTGATGCCACGAACGGAGGCCAGTCCAGTTCTTGGCCAGGCGTGCAAGGGCGAGGCGCCCAAGGGCCCAAGAGAGCCTTTTTTCTCCGTAGCACGACTACTCACCTTGGTGTTCAAAAGTCGACACAGTCGAGGTCGTCGACGAGAGGGGACGGTGGTAAAAGTACAGGTGGCCGGTGCAGCTCCGCAGAGTCTTGCACGATGTCGTGCTAAACGTGAACGTCGGTCCGGTCAAGCTCCGGGTCGCGCGTCCTCGTGATTCTGGGCTGGGAGAGGCGGTTGGCTAGAAGCGCAGCCAAACAGTGCCAAAGGGTCGGCGGAAGGGCACAACGAGGACTGTGTGTGCAAGGGTGAGAATTGCCGAGCAGCGGTAAGAAGACGAGGCTCGCTGACCGATGGACAAGAAGGCTTAAGGTGTGCCAAGGTGACCAAGCCGCGCAACGCCGCTCCTGAGGGCCCGGAAGAGACAGGGCTCGCTCGAGGGTCGGAGAGGAGCGGGCGGGATATTGCAAAGGACGAGGGTGCAGGGCGAGGGTGGTGGCGGTACTCACGCAGTTGTACCGGTGTGTCGGCACGCCTGTTGATGTGTTGTTGCCCCTGGATGCGAAGGAGAGAGGACAGGAAGGAGACTGTGGACAAGATACCTTGAGAGGCGAGGGTCGCTCTAGGTCGAGGGGAGGGGAGAGAGTAGGAGGGGTGAGAAGGAGAGAGTCGGCAGGCAGGCAAAGCAAGGCAGCTCAGGATTGAGGTGATTCGAAGTCGCCCGGCCCCTCTCTCTGTGTGTGTGGCCCTCTCCTGTGTCTCTCTCTCTCCTCCCCCCCTCTGTCTCTCTCCTCTCTAGACTCTCTGGCTGGGCGATCTGACGAGGGTCGGGCGGAACCTTTTTCTGGCTGGCCCTGGCCCTGGCGGTTGGTCGGTCGGTCGGCCAGGCCCAGGCAGGCCAGCCAGCGAGCACAGAGGATGCCGCTCGTTGGTCGCGGGCCACAGCCAGCGATGATTTTTGTTTTTCCCCCTCACCGTCCGCCCGCCCGAGAGAACACGCACGCAAGCAAGCGGCAAAGGGGAGGAGGCCGGCCAGCCAAGAGCCGGCCCAGCCAACCAACACGCACCCACGCAACACACAGCGCCAGGCCGGGCAGGGTGTTGGCCTGGAAGTTTTCCCCTGCCGGCCACTTCGCCCGCGGGCCCGATGATCGGCCTTGGACCGCGCACGCACGGTTCCCCTCCCGCCTCCCGACATGGTGGCGGCATCTTTGACCCTAAGTTGTGATTACACCCGCCGCCGATGATGCTCGAGAGGAACAGATGGGTCAAGGGTAGTGTAGCACCTCAACGACCAGACAGAGAGGCGGGCTGCGTGGCGGGCGGTGGCGACTCTGTCTCCGAGGCCCGCCCGCCTACGCTGGCTCGAGCCCCGACACTTTGAGGCTGCCACCTTGCAGCCAGGCTGGACCGACGACGGGCCAACGTACGTAGCTGCCTGCCTGCTCTCTGCTTCTGCACATGACACGCACGTATGCTAGGTAAAGATCCGTGCCCGTACTACCAACCCTGCCTCTCTCTGTGGTGATCGCAGCATGATGCGATGTGACCATAGGCTGGGCTTGGATGGGTGCGCAGGCCGACCATGTGATGTGGAGGCAGGGTGACATCCTCTCCATCCAAGCCTGGCCTGTCCTCGAGATGGCCAGCTGGTCAACGACGTGCCCACCTGCTTGGTCGCGCTTGCTCGGATCCTCTGCAGCCGGCAGAGCCTGGCCCGTCCGCCCGTCAGACCGCACAGGAGGAAAGAGGCCAGCAGGCCAGGCAAGCTTCAAGCTTGCTTGGAAAAGCACGTTCGAAAATCAGGAGGGAAATTCCGGCCCAGCTCAGAGGTGAGCCCACAGCCATCCTCATCTCGACGGCATCGGAGGAAGCCGAGCCATCGGGAATCGGGATCGGGGTTTAGCAGGCCATGCAAACTCGATGCCGGCCAGATCCGCACGTTCAAGTCGGAAGTGTGCCGGTGCGGGTCGTGGCGAGGTGCCGGCTGCGTGATGGGGCTGGCCCACCCCGTCTTTATCCTGCCGCTTCTCGTCTTTTCTGTCCATCGTCCATCGTCCATACCTCCGATTCCATCCCCTCCCTCTGCGCTCCCTCCCCTTGTCCCCTCTGTCGCACCTCGGGCGTGCTAGACGCCATCATCGCCAGCAATCCTTGCCGAGCGACCAGTGCGCGCCCGCGCCTGCGACCCGCGCCAGTCCGTCACCTCGCTCCTCGCAACTTCTAGCCGCCCCTTGCCCGGACGGCCTCCAGCCTCGCGCCCGGGAGACTCCCAACGCAGCAATGGCACAGCGACGGTGATCCGCCTTACCCGCTTCTCACACCGCCGCCTCACGTTTAGAGCCTCGAGTTCAAGTAACACACCGCCGGCTCGCGAATGGAGACATCGAATCGCTTTGCTGTCGCGACACTCGAGACATTTCTGCCCTCGACCGGGTTCTGATGGCCAGTCACAGGCAGTCAGTCGATGCAGGCAGCCAACGAATCAAGCACAGGGGTTGCACACGATGCTAGACGCTTCCTACGATCGCCCGCCCGCGACCGCGGTCGAGCTTGCCCGTTCTCGGACGCTGCGCAACAATGCATCCGTGTCCACAGCCGCCACGGCCACCACGACGTCGTCGTCGAGCCTTAGCCATCGCGAGCCACAGCGACGCCGCAAGATACCCATATACGTCCGCATAGTCCAAAAGGACATTTGGCTCAGATTCCACGTGCACCTCAACGGCACCATCGGATCAATAAAGGACCTCGCCCTTCAAAGGGCCAACGCGCCCGAATCCGACCCAACGCAGTCCTCGTACTTCTACCACGATGCCATCAACGTAAGCGCGGCAGCAAAGATGGCGCACGCTTCCGCTGCCAGCCAGATCTTCGCAAGATACCGTTCCGACCTGCTCCCAAAGTCATTCGTAGCGGCCTGTCCCAGACCATCAAGCTCCCTCCCGCGGCTCGCTGCGCGGTCCTTTGAGATCAGTGCACCTGCGGGGCAGGCGGGCACCTCTCCTGCGACGTCGTCGCGGTCACGATGGAAGGAGAAGCCCCACGCCCCGCAGAGCAACAACCTCCATGGCGGTCACAGGGTTCATCACGCAGGCTCTGCAGCCTCGGACACGTCAGCTCGTCAAGACATACCAGTACCGCAGCCACCCGAACCGCAAAGCAGCAACCCCGCCTCGCTGCCGAATGCCGAGAACCCGGACGTCGACTCGAACAGATTTTACGACCCGACATCTGCAGCGACGGCCGACGACACCCCGACGCCGGAAAGCAGCGCAAGCCAGTCGAAGGCCGCCCTCGCAGAGGAAGTGAGCGCCGCCGCGGAAGGCCATCTCAAGGCGGATCAGCCTCAGATCTCAATCGAGAAGCTCGGCCCAGGCCTGTTCACCGACAGGAGCCCGGACCCGTCCTACAGGGACATCTCCTGGGGGGCACCCGTAACTTCGATGCAGCTGCCCCTCGACCCATTTGCCGGCGGCAATGCCGAAGCCAAGGAGGAGGAGGCTCGAGCGCTTGCTCGCCTCTCTGGTTGGGGCCGCGCCGTGGCAGGCTCCACGATCTCGCCAGCGGCATCAGGACGCAGATCCATCGATGGCGCCATCGCTGGCCTCGTCCCACCCTCCCACAGCCCACTGTCGAGCGCGGGCCCAAGGGTGCAGGGCGCGAACAGCGATGCGGGCAGGACTGGTGCCTTCACGGACGACGGTTCGACCTCGGATGATGAGCCACTAGATCCGTCAGCGCTGCAAGGCGACTCGCGCCCCGTCCTATCTTGCATCGCGGCCACTCGGTCCTCGCACTCTCTGGCCGACACGGTCAGCAGCGGATCCTCTGCGGATGTCCTGACCACGACCGAGACGGACGGACTCTGGGGCACGCAGCTGGAAGAGCAGCTGCTCACCTCGCAGCAAAAGACGAGATCGCCGCCAAGCGGCGGCGGCTTCAGGCCCGTCACTTCTCCCAGCGACCGATCTCGATCACGTACCGTCACTGCCGCCGACGTCGGTCGGACGCCAGAAGTTGGCGGTCTGGCTCTACTCGCCGCTGGCCCCGTTGCACACCAGCGCATGAGCTCCGTGCCGACCACCACCGCGCCTCTGCGCATGACAACGTCGCAGACATTTACCTCGGAGAATTCGGCCGCATCCGCGATCGCCGTATCACCCGCATCGACTCAGTCCAGCGCCGCGCGCGGCGACGGCGCTGCCTCGCCGTGGCTGGATCGAGGTCGGCTGGCCGGCATCAATCTCGACGAGGTGTCGCAATGGCGAGAGGCGACGCACGGCGCGTCGGACCGCTTCTCCATCTACTCGTTCTCAAACGGGCTGCTGCTCGAGGACTGGAAGACGGTGGCGGCCTACAGACTGAGACCGTTCGAACTGCTCGAGCTGCAGTCTTCGTCGCCCGTCGAACGCGTCCACCTGGTCCGCGATGTAGCTGGGATCACGCGCGAGGCCGTGCGTGGGTCCTCACGTGCCAGCGCCTCGCTCGAGGGTGCCGTGCTGGATCCTTACTATGAAGGATGGGTGTACGTCCTCAAGCCTTCCAGCACCTCGGCACGCCAAGCCGCAAAGGCCGTCATCGGCACGTGGAAGCTTCGCTGGGTAACAATCCGCGGATGGAAGATGGACCTCTTCCGAAAGAAGCCCAAGGCAGGAGAGAGTTCGGCACCGCCAAGCGCCTGCTACTGGCACCTGAGCCTGATCAAGAAGATCACCAGCGACAAGATCGACTCCGCAACAGCTCACGCAGCCAATCCTCCCCTGCCGGCCCTCGAGCAGATTCCCGCGTGCAGCCTCACGGTGGCGTTTTCCGCCGCCAGCTGGGCTGCGGCAATGCCGTCCGAGTTCACACTGCCAACCTCTGGCTCGAGCATCACCATGCGCTGCGTCACCCAGTACGATCACGACGCTCTCCTCAACGTGCTGAATCGGGCGCACGTCCGCAGTGTCGCACGGAAGCAGGGTTCCATGGACGTGCAGCAGCTCGTGGATGGATGGAGGAGCGATGCCGTCATCAGGGCGACGATCGCGGGCCGCGGAGGCACCGTCCAGCCAGGTCGGCTTGCGCAGACAAAGGGTGGCCGCAACGCATTCGTGCGGGCCCGGCTCCGCCCGTCCGGTTGGCCCCGTGAGTTTGAGGATGCCGATCGATGGAGCAGCGACAGCGAAGTCGAGGCTGCGCCGTCGAACGACATGGTATGGTCCGGTGACCGGGGTGCTTACGCCGGGTCCAAGGCTCCGAAACAAACGCTCTCGGGCTCACCAGGCACCCCGGACGCCCGGAGAAGCTTGGATGCGGAGCGCTTGGGCACGACCACTTCGGCGCACGGGTTGCGCGCTGCGTACCTGCAGCAGCAACAGCAGCAGCAACCCTTCCATGTCAATATTCTGGTGACGAAGCGGTCATCGTCGCCACTCAACTCCGGCACGCCCCCAAGCACGTCGGGCCGCCGTTCCAAGCTCGGCCAGGCGATAGAGGCGGCGAACTTGTCTGAAAACCGAGAAATCGAACACGCCACCGGTCCTCTGCAGGCCGGAGCCCCTTCGCCTGCCTCCGAGGTCAGCCCTGTGCGATCTCGGGGCTTCTCCCTGTCCCGGTCTGCGCGTTCCAGAACGACGGATCCGGACCGGACCACATCCACGGCGACATCGGCGAACCAGCGCCCGCCAAGGGATGCAACGACGCGCATCGAGTCGCTGCAATCAAAGCCTTCGGGTGCCACAGCAGCAACGACTGAAACCACGGCGTTGCAGAGCGGGGGCGGCAGCGCATCCGCATCCTCCCGCCCGGACAGCTCGGGCCGCTCGCGGGCACACACAGTCTCGAGCTCGACAAACAACCCCTTGTCCCGGCCAGCTGCCGCCAGCGTGTTTGCAGGAGTAGCAGTCCCGCTTCGTCGGCCCGAGTCACGCCGTTCTAGCAGCGAACAGAAACGCACCTCCGCCCTCCCAGGTTCAACGGGTCGGCCGGTTGGCAGCGGAAGCGGCGGAGGTACGCCGCCACTGATGAAGCAAGACATCCCTACCGCCCTGTTTCCAACCCAGCTGGGGTCGGCACCGCACAACGAGTCCATCTCAAGGTCGGTCACGCTGCTCAAGCGCTTCAAGCAACGCTCGGCCGCCTCGGCCAAGGCCAGGCGACAGGAACATCCTTGCGACGCGAGGAGCAACTCGCCTGCAGCTGGTGGTGGCGCCTGAGCCGCAGAGAAGTGATGGTCCTGAGGGGGGCTTGACCTGCTGGAGCCGCGATACGGGCGCACACGATGCGACTCCATTCAACCTCGCTTCGTGCGAATCTGCAAGTTGACGGGTTTGATTCGAGGACATCCAGATCGGTGCAGCGAGGTATCAAGAGCGGATCAGGAACCGACTGCCGACGCCGAAGGAAGAGGAAAAGGCGTGGATTGAGCTCAACACGGCTGAACGAGGTAGAGATGCGGTGCGGGCATAGGCGACTGCCAGTTGCGCGAGAGCCGGGTGGAGGAAGAGAGAGCGGAGGCGGAGGAAAGACGATGGATGGCCCATGGGGCGGGAGACGAAGGTGAATCGGGGAGCCGATGGCCGCGCATCGGCACGGAAACAGTCGACGCCGATGTCGAGCCTGCCTAGGCCGTGGCTTGGACAAGATGGAGACTGATGTACAAATACAGAAGAGGGATATGGTATCGTGTCAAGAGGAAACAGTATCGGGATATCTTCACGATTGCGAGCGATTCGCTTTCGGCCCACGACGGGCCAAGCGCCGTGAGCGAGGCTCAGTAGAGGCTCCCCTTGAGGCTGCGCGGCCAGCCGTAGTCCATCATCTCATCGTCCCAGTTTTCTGGGAGCTCAAAGCTCTCGCGCGTGCCGGCCGACTTGTGCCGCTGGGCCCGCTCCTTGATCGCCTTGGCCCGGGCAGCAGCCACGCTGTTGATGGCGGCCACTGCGTTGGCGCCGCCGCCCTTTTTGCTGTCCCAGATCCCCGGTCCTCCGGGTAGGTTGACGAGGATGTGCCGGGGCTTGGGGGTGCCAAACTTGGACGACGCCGAGGCTGCCGCCGCTGGCCAGAGATTCTTCTCCTCTTCATCGTCCCCGAGGATGTCGGCCATGGATGTGCTGGCGTGGACGTTGCTGAGGGATCTCGATGCCCGAGGTGCCTTGTGGCTAGTCGATGCCGTTGTCGCCCTCGCTTTCTTGTCGGGGTGCTGGCGCAGAGAGGTGGCGCTGTTGATGGCTTTGACCGATCTGGAGCGCGCAGTTGCTGCCCTGCCCTCTGTGTCTGCCCCGCTTGACCTGTGAGCTTTAACGTCCGGCGGTTGAGAGCGGGCGTCGACTGCCATGGATCGAGAGTAAACCACCTCTTGACCGGCGGCCCGCGTAGTGGCTCGCTTCTTCTGCATCGCCGTCTTCCTCTCCTCCTCCTCCAGCTCCTCGGCGTTCAGGTCATCGTCGTCGCTGTCGACGTGACTATTGATGCGCATGACGGGGGGTCGCGTGCCCCGATCCCCGTCGGACTCATCCGAGCTGTCGTCGACGTCGTCGTATTGCCAGACCCTGCCCTCGTGCGGGCGTTCGGGGCGGATGCCGAGCTGTGGCAGCGGGACCACGGCCATGCCCTTGGCGTCGGGCCGGCGTGGTAGCCACGGCGACGGCGCCGGCACGCTGACGCTCGGGTCGAGATGGATCCGCCGAGACTTCGGAGAGTGCGCCGGCCCGACCCTCGACATCGTCTGTACCGAGAGGTTGGAAGCCTGCGATGCGCTGCCCTGAAGCAGGTTGTATGGGGATTGCGTGGACCCGATCGGGGAAGTCGCCTGGTCAATCGTCGAGCTCCTTCTCGAGAGCGCCTCTTCGCTGTCGATCCGCTTCATTGGTGCAGCATCGTTGATCTCGATCAAAGGGCTCGCGTTGCGGATGTCAACGATCGACGATGTGGGTGATTGGACGTGGACCCCATCGTCGACCAACAGGGCCTGAGGGCGCGTTCCGGATGCTCGCTTCGCGGGCGACACATCGTCGGTAGCGACCTGCGCCTTGCCAGGAGAAATGGTCCGCTCGCTGTCTCCGGTCGCTTTGCGCAGGCTTGGCAAGAAAGCCTTCGAGATCGTCGACAGCGGTTGGAGCTCGTCGATGCGCCTGCCTTCGCGAGAGCCATCGCGAGAGTTCGGCTTCGAAGCCAGCTTGGAGCCAGGTTGAGACGAGGAGGCCGCATTTGTCGACTTGCCGGGCTTGGTAGGGTGTGCGTGAGCGTTCGAATGAGTGCTGTTCGCCGCGCCCTTCGCACTTGCGCGGCGCTGGGCGTTGCGGCGGTTTTGAGCCAGCACTTCGGCTCCCAAAGCGTACACTTCGTTCTCATGCCTCCGTCGGATCTCTTCTGCTTGATCGGCCGACAGCGCGAGGCCAGGCGTGAGGGGTGCGGCCTTGTCAGATGCGCGCGACTCGATCTTCTTGAGCAATCCGCTTCCGGAGAGCGATCCAGTCTCTGGCGTCGTTGCTGGGGCTCTGTCTTGGACCAGAGACGGCACCTCAAATGTGACCGAAGCGTTGTCCGCGACAGAATCCGTTGCCTGAACATCGAATGCGACCGCGTTTACGTCGATCGGAGTTGCATCCGCAGCATCTGCGGGGACTTCGGGTCTTGGAGAGCCAGCCAAAGGCTTGGTGGGGGGAGCACTGCCGACCGCGAGGGCAGGTTTGGCGTGTCTTGCGGGAGCCGGGCTGGCGTCGATCGTGATGTCGCCCGCCTCTGACTCGGCGACTACCTCCGATTCTGCTACAGCAGATTGCAGACTGGCGATCCTGGCATTCTCAGCCTCTCGAAGGGCTTTTTCTTCTCTCTCTCTCCGGCGGCGGCGAACCCAAGCCATGCCAGACCCGTCGTCCTCTTCGTCCAGGTAAGGGTCAGTTAGATCGCCGCTGGCTCGTGTGCCGTTGCCCCTCCTGGAGGCTTCCTTGGCGAGACCAGCGAAGCCCCACTCGTTGAACTCAGGCTCGCCAAGATCTTGGACTGGATCATTGACCCGACGTGCTCGGATCTTGGTGCCGTCAGCGAGTGTGACCATGCCGGTGCCACCCGGTCGGGCCAGCCGGATGAGCTCCCTCCTCCGCGCTCTCTCGTCCTCATCGCCTGATCCGCGGGCTCCATTCCTGCTGCTGGAGCGATTCGACTTGCGCGAGGATGACGATGCCCTGCTCTTTGAACGGGATCGGCCGGGTTTCCTGCCGCGTTCGTCGTCGTCCTTGTCACTTGGGGCGTTCGAAGGCTCGCGGCTCCAGCCGATGCGGACCAACTCCTGGCTTAGAAGCTCGCTCACGCTGCCGGTGCTCTTGCGCCGGCTGACCCTCGCCTCTTTGGAGTCGACCGTCTCTTCGCCGCTGCTGAAGCCGCTGACGCTGGGCGTTTTTGAATGGCGACCGCGACGGCGAGCTTTCTGATAGTGCTCCGGCTTGAAGACAGAGGAAGGCATCCCCATGAGATACCTGCGGACGCGATGTGCCGGTCATGTCGGTGTGATTGTGACGGTGTGATTAGCCGGCTGTCCAGTTCGGGCGTGTGGACCTTCAGCATCGACGACTTACCATTTGCCTTTACCCGTCGACGAATCGTCGCTGTCATAGTCAGAGTCGCTGTCGACGTCCTCGCTTAGGTTGCTATCGGTCCTCTTCAGACGATTCGCATGATCATGCACTCTCGCCGTGTCGCCGACGTGGACAGTGGCGTCGGGACGATCGGGCGCCTCGCCGTCCATGTCGGCCTTTGAGGACAGCGGCCCGAAAGCCTGGGGCAGCGGCGCGAAACGGATCTTTGCCTGCCTGCTGGGGCTGCTACCGAGCAGGGACGCGGAAAAGCCCACTGCTGCGATGTCGCCCAGACGTTCGCCAGGAGATGACGGGGTTCCTGAGGCGTGTCCGACGGCAACGCAGGGGAGTGTTTCGTGGGTGCTCTCGACGCTGCTGCTCGTCTGTCCAATGGAGCTCATGCTCGGAACGCTGTCCTGCGAACCGGCTCGGAGATCCGCTAGAGTGGGTCTGGTGCTCGCCGAGGTGGTACTGCCCTGACTTCCTGCTCGAGCTGGACGGGGATTGAAGCTGACCTGCCCGTTGACTAGTGCCTGAGCAGCAGCCATGCTCCTCCTCGTGTTGATGATGGCATTGAGAGCGGCCAACTCCTCGGGATCGAGCTTCTCCGCCGGCTCATCGTCGTCGACGGCAGGGCCGTCGCTGCCGGCTGCCGGACGTTTGCCAGAATCCGCTACTTGAGATTGTGCCCCTGCCTTGTTGGCCTGTTGTGCGGCTGCGGCGTCGTCGGGAGACACGAGGTTGCTTGCGGAGCCACTGCCATGACCCCATCCGCCCAGCATTGCCACCTGGGCGTTGAAGTTGAGATCTCCGAGGCCCAGGAGGAGGGCCTTTTTTGGGGATTCCCCAGATGCGCTCGTCGCTCTTGCTCTTGAGCTTGTCTTTATCTCTTTCTCTTTGCCTCTCCCTCTCCCTCTCGCGCTCCTTTTCGCGCTCCCTCTCGCTGGCCTTTGCCGAGACGACGGCGGGGATGCGTTTGACCACGGGTGCTGGACGAAGGCCGTTGGGAAAGAGGTCAAGTATTGGCGGTTCGACGATCAAGCCCTTGTAGGAGTTGCGCTTGGGGTTGATGAGGATCGAGGAGCGTGGTGTGTCTGGCGTCAAGAGGAGCGGGTGAGATCTGTTGACGATATGGGAGTCGAAGCCGGAGCGTATGCTGGTGCAGGCGCTGCCTGGAAGAGGGTTTGGGGTGACGGCTCCATGGCGAGTGTCGCTGTGGCAGGAGCCAAGCCGGAGGCCGCCGGATGGGTGTTGGAGATGCTGCGACTCGGTGATGCTGGGTGCGACGAGAGGAGGAGAGCTTGCCAGCATTCTCGACTGGCGCAGCCCTCGATAAGGTCACGGACGCTCTCTGGGGATGCGAGCGGCCAAGAGCCGAAGCAGAAAGGGTCGAGGAGACGGCGGATGCGCGGAGATAGTGAAGCGACGGGACGTGAGTGAGAGGTTGGGGCGAAGGAGAGCGACGGGTGCTGGGCGCGGATGATGAGGGCTGACTCGGTGGAGACGTAGGGAAGGCGGCGGCGTGCTGAGGGGTTGCGGTTCTGCCTAAAGCAGTGCAGGTGCCTGCCGATAAGGCTTCCGGTCAAGAGGATGTTGGTGTCGAGTGCTTGACGAAGTGGGGCGAGGGTGGTGAGGCTGGCAGGAGTAGAGATAGGGCGCGGATCTCGACTTGAGGATGGTCGCGGGAGGGCGAGCGAGCGCGGACCTGAGGTGTGGAGAGGAAGGCAACGGGCGGGCCAAAGGTCGCAAGCAAGGCAAAGACGATTGCGGTCGGAATGGCTTGAGGGAGAGAGCAGGTCGGCAACAGATAGAGAGAGAGGCCAGCAGCTGCAGCAGATAGGCCGGCAACACACAAAGAGAGAGAGAGAGAGAGAGAGAGAGAGAGGAGGAGAGGAGGAGAGAGAGAGAGAGGAGGGAGGAGGAGGAGAGGAGGTACGACGCGACCGACCGACCGCCGACCGACCGCCGTCCTCGTCGTCGGTCGGGCGGGCCGGGCCGGTCGGTACGGACG